ACTAACAGGAATGGAGAATTCCAACAAGTACAGACTACCTGGTTGGCAGTGGAGCCTGATTGAGAGAAAATGCAGAGATCTCATTCTCCCCCATTCCCAAAATAACTGTTAAACACATTGGTGACACTACTCCAGCAGAATTTTTGATGAAGTAACAGTGTATAAAGAACCTTAGAAAGCTTTTGCCCACTTTAGTACTGTGGTTGCTGACAGAGGTGGGAAAACACACTTGCATCAATTCCAGAAGTCACAGGGTGTGGGCAGCACACCTCCCGTGGGGCAGGAACATGGTTCTTCCATGCCCCCATCTTCTCCTGAAAAATATGTGTTCTGTGAAGGACACTGCTTACTCCCCAGTGGGATTTGGCAGGAAAGCAGATGATTTCAGAGCTTGCTTTGACAACAAAGAGATTCAGTGTCGTCACGGGACTTCCAGATTTTGTCACTCTGTCCTCCCTCCCAAGGAATGAGATCATTGTTTCTTTGGGTCAAAATTACCAGATTGTTACAGTGAAAAAGGCATAGTAACAACTAGTTTATCAGTCAAATCCAAAGCTACTATTAGGCTATTTTTAACAAGATCTGAAAGCCTTTTTCAACAAAAAAGTTACATTTTCAGCTCAAAACAAGAGCAAAACATCTGTGGAGACAGGGCACCTGGGCACATGTACTTCTGATGGAGCTGCTGGTAATGTAGATTGTCACTGTTGCTTTTGAACACATCCATCCCTACAGCAGGCAGGGTTTTTGCAGCGTATTTGAAAAAAAAGCCCTGGCCATGTTTGCCCTTTTCCTGAGGCTGCAGTGCCAGCCTGTGCACAGCCCAGATGAACACCATCTTCTTAGTTATTAGATGCAGACTTGCAGCCAATCTTTTCTTCTGGTGTCTTATTTGAAATCTTCAGGAGATACACTTTAAATATTTTCTTAAAATCATTTCTGGAAGAGAAAGACTGTTCAAAGGAATGAGAATCAGCATGTCTACAAACAGTACCAATGCACAGAACCTGGTTTGCTTTACCTTTCTCTCTGGATTTGCTCACATTGTGTCAAGTAATCTGGGTAGGCTGCTGTCCCTCTTCTATCAGTAAGCAGGGTTTCAAGTGGCTTTTTGTCCACTCCCCATGGATGAGTGGCTGGCTGACCCAGGTGTGTAAGTGGTAACTGTGGAGCAGTGGCAGACAGGCAAGGTACCCCCAGCTGACTAAAGGCAGCGGTCTGGGAGAGGCAGGAAGGAAGCAAGGACGGGAGGGAGTAGGGATGGCACCGGTGTCACTGCAGCGCTTTCCTCGCCAAGCTTCACGTGTGAACCAGCTGATTTTTGTTGACATGTGAGCCCTGAAGTCAATTCCGTCGTTTCTAGAGCTGATGCATTCTTAAATCAGGGTCAGTACTTACACAGTCGTTTTATCCACAAAATGGGTAATATGAACATTTGCACACTTTTTGTGGAATTAGCAGATGTATGGCAAAATATCCAAGTAAACAGATTTTCACAGCAAAAACATATACCCATACTGTTCAGCTCAGAAAGACGGTGAAGAAACATCAATATGGACTTTTCTTCTGATGATTAGTACACCATGAACATTTTTTTAAAGTTAATATGTGTAATCATATTATAGTAAGATTAATAGATTTACTCTTATGAAATATGATTCCTTCAGCATCTTATTCCTTATGCATAAGTACATAACTTCTTTAAGTGCCTCTGTGAAGCTCTCAATGTGCAGTTTCAGACAGATGGAACTGTGTTCAGCTTCAACAGCAAAAAGGAGTTCAAAGAATGTTCTTTCAGGACTGCACTATTTCTGAAATCGCTGACCTGCTGAGATGCTTGCTTTGCAGAGAACACAACATGCAGTGCAACATCCACTTATCTCTTCAACTTTCTGGCATCAAATATTCAGTTCCCTCCAAAATCTCCGGATCACTTATGTATTGTACACACAAGCCTACTACTGAGATAAGAGTTATCATCTGCTTCTAATAAACCCAAAATACTGCTGTCCATCTTCACAGACACTGCTCTAAAGGTGTTGGTACTCTGTCTCCCTCACTCCAGTCTAGAGGCAGGTAAGCTTCTGATGCTGACACTGCTGCTAAACTTCTACACCTGAACAGGCAGAATCCAAGGTGATGAAAAGTACCAGAGATGCCCTTCCTTCCTATTTTATCCAGCCCAGAAGATTCAACAGAATATGCTCTCTCACAGTCAGGACTCCTTTAGACAGACCTCAATGCTCCATATCAAACTGGAAAGATTCCTAGAGCTAGGTATAGTACTAGGACAGAGCTACTGTTCCCTTATCTACATGCTTTCTGAAAATACACAATATAGAAACATCACCTGACCTGTACTCTGATTCTTTATATGGGACTGCAACACAGACGAAACCATCTGCTTCTGGATATGAAGATAACCTTAATGCCAACACAGTCCTTGATATTAGAAATCCTAGCACAGACTTATTTTCACAGAACAAGAAAATAATGTGAATTTATGGGATGCTGATATTCAAAGAAACAGGGTGCAGCACATATAATTCTATCTAGTAACTACCCAGGACCTACTGTGAATGTAGACTGCATGCAAGCAGTTACAGGAACTGCTGGAGGAAACAACCATTTGCTCACAGCTTCAAAAGGGGAACTTGCATAGTTTGACAGGACAGTCTTACCCTTTTGCTGAATATAGCCAAGTGTACATGGGTGTCACTGAGTAGTGTCTGTCTCATCCCTTACAATGCAATGGAGTGTTTCTCATTCCTTCGAGGACTTGTCCACATACTCAGGAATTTCATAAACCTGCCTAACTTCCCATGGAGATACGCTGCTCAAGGAAGATTACAAGTACTACAAGTTATCAGCATACACCACTCACTAGGGAGAGCAAAGAACATCCTGGAAGAGCAGAAGCAGCCTCAAAAACTCTTATCCATCTCCATCTCTCTCCTTTCTGTCCCCTTTTTCTTCTCTTCTTTTGTCCACATTCCTGTGCAAAGATAAGCTGAAAAATGCATCCTGGAAGCTCTACCTGCTCACCAAATAATCATCAGTAGCACTATTTAATGGGAGAGTAATTTTCCAGCCAGACTTCTCCTCCCCCCACTTCCAAAACGGTTTTCCAGTATGTACGGCACTACACTGGGTGCTACATGGGTCATACATCTACCATTACATGCAGCCATAGCAATTTATTACTGGTTCAGAAAGGAGGATCACCTCTTAACTGGCTGAGAGAAAAGAAGTCATGCTAGCATTCTCACAGAGACTGTCACCATCTTCTTTCCTAGTGATGTCATTTCCTTTTAATTAATGGTTCTATTCCAAGATTTCTGAGACACAGGAGAAGAAAGAAATGTATATAATGAAATGTATGTAAGAAATCACATACTTTACACTGACTAAGCCTGTGATACCAAAAAGCATTCAAGGGAATGCCCACTTCTCTTGCCTTTTCCAACAGCAGATGGTTGTTTTGAAAAGGGCTCTGTGAGCTCATCATTGCAGGGGGACAACTGCTACCCCAAGTCACCCAGTGTTACTGAAATCTTAGTAATAACTTTTTCATTAACGCACACAAACTTATAGTCTAAATCTATTTATCTTAGTACTTTCTTAACTAGAGGCCATTTGGTTTTCTATTCAGTTCTTGTTTACCTTTACTTCTTTTCCAAGAATTTTAGAGGATTCTAAGTCTTTTGCATTACTTTAAATCTCATTTCTTTCTCATTTTCCGTGTTTCCATGAACTTTCGCTTTGCTGAAACAAATGAAGACCCTTGTGGAATATGCCCTGAATTTCACAGAGGAATGCTGTCACAATGGAAAGACATTCTTTTCAAAGTCAAAACTCAAGTCAGTTTGGACAGACAGTCAATGTGGTGACCTCAAAATTTTGTCAGACACAACATTAGACAAACTTGCATTAAACTAATGCACAGCACTGAGAGTTTAAACAGTCTGAAGTTGAATTTAATGAAAATCTGATGGCTTCCAGGAGGGATAAGTGTGGGGCTGGGAGCACAGATTCAATTCAGATGCTTATATGCATGATATGTGTGAAAGTCATTGGGTAGGCTGAGATGTTTTGACTAGACAGGCATCTGATTAGTCTCCTTCATGTAAATTTGACTTAACTTTGTCCTAAGTATGGATGCAAATCAAAATAAATAGCCACCACTTTGGAAAGAAACATCGAAGCAGTAAAACTTTCAAGAGCCTTTTTGAAGCTCTGGATTTTGATTGTTTGAACCTTTATATGACTCAATAGTGACAACTTTTATAACAAAAGGAATTCTTTCTACGTTATTTCTTCTATTTCAGCATAACAGATCACATAACTGTTCTTGGGTTTCCAAATATAAGCAAGTGCCTACTTATAGGATTAAATGGATATAAGGGATATGTATATTCACATCCACTTACAGTCTCTATTTCTAGAGACCCACAACAGTGTGTTAATAACAAACATTCTTCATTCAATCCTACAAAATTTCTGCAAGTATGTATTACTATGCTTAGCACAGAAGTTAAGTTTTGATGCATTATTGTTACTTTACAATTAAAATTATTATTTTTATTTTCACTTCTAGCTCCTTAAAAACCTCAACATAAATACTTTTGCCATCCCTCCTGCACACCCACTCTTGCTGATTCGTGGATCAGTTAAAAATATTTAAATGTTTTTAAATTCACCCATCCTTTTCTGTCCTCTNATTAGGTAGGCTTTTTTAATCTGATCTTGCAATAACATCAATTTCTAACCATACTAACACAAGAGGAACTAGAGAAGTAATTTTACTACAGTGTATGTGACTAGTAACACACAGTTTTATGCATAGAAAAGAGCAAAAATCATCCATGAATGTGAAAAGCTCAATCTAAAAACCCTAAAAAGCTCAATCTGTTTAACTTTTTCTTAAAACAAACAAGCAAAAAAAATATTGAGAAGTAACTTGATTACAGAGTAAAAGTACCTTCCTGGGGAGAAAATAGTGAGTCCTAAAGAGCTCTTTAATCCATCAGAGAAGGCATAACAAGAATCAATGACTAGAAGCTGAAGGCAAACAAATGCAAATGAAATAAGGTAGAAATTTTTTTAGCAGCAGGCATGATTACTACTTGTATTATCCTAGTACCTGGAAGCCAAATTGTAGATCAGGACTCTGTTAGGTGCTGGTAAAAAAACCCAACCTCAAACCAAAAGAAGACACCCAAAACACAGAAAAAAACCGTGATCCCTGCCAAAAGGTTACAAAAAGCAAGAAAGATGAAGTAACATAATAAATCAGTGATAATAATATCTGGTATGACAGGCAGCAGTTTCAGGCCACAGTTTCACGATACAAAGTGTTTAGTTGAGATACATGCTTGAGGTGACTCTGAGTATCTAGACTGTTTTGTCCCATTCCCACTATTTCTCTGCAGTTATGAAATGTTGAAGCCTGATCCTTACTTTAAAAAAAATAATAAATCAGTACTAAAATCAGGGTTTTCATTTTTATTTTGCAACAAAATGCCAGTGAATACTTTTGCAAGTATTTTGATTTTTATGAATTTCAGGGATTGGGTTGACCAAATTTTCTCTAACAGTATCTCCCACCAGTTCTTTTTACAGGAACCTGCTGCATTACTTGTGAGAAAAGACTGCATATCCCAGGGAAAACACGCAAAAGCGAAGTATGAGATTGTTTTGTTTTCCTCATAGCAAATCACTAGGCTTGGTGACAAAATCTCAAGCACCATCCATAATTAAAGCAGACATTAACAAAAACTGAAACTCAGACCATGGTCTGGACAAGGTTTCTCTGAAAAAAACTTAATATGCTACCAAATTCTAACATAAAATATATTAAGATGAGCTTGTGTTCCCAACACAATTGCTCTAGCACTGGAGCCCACACACCATCCTTGGTAGTTCACAAAGACAGTAGGCCACTAAAATTTGACTGGGAAGAAGATCAAAGGAGTAAGCCAAGAGCAGTATTTTATATTATTAAAGTTTTTTGTGAGATCAAGGATCTCCATCTATTTGTGAGATCAAGGATCAGAAGGATAGCCCTTGAAATTCATTGTGGAAAGAACTGGGAGCATCTCCTCTTATTTTTCAATAGGAAAACATAGGAGAAAAGCCCACCTTTGATTTCTGTTTCTTCACTTAAATTATTAGCAGACTAAAGCAACAGGCCTGAAGTGTATTGCACTGAGAAGCTCTGGGGGAGCTAATTTTTAGGGGTGGGAATGCTGAAGAGAAAACAAAAGCTAAAGAGCTGGGGTCAACACTCTACAAATAGTCCCAGAGACTTGGATGCAAACTGGATATACCCATGGTGTTAAGCACTCTTCCTTCCCTTCCTCCCTGGAGGTGGCCAGCCTCCTGCCATTGGCTGACGTTCTGAGTTTCACTGAGTGGATATTCATGTTCACATGCTAGACAGGGAATTGGTTACAACCAGTTCTAAAAGCTTTCATTTTTCTCTTGCTCCTTGTTAAAAATACTTTGAGCTATAGCTGTAATAAGTGACATTAAAAGAACACTGCTTCATTGCAAAGCTTAAACACTTAACAGCCTTACTCTTTGGCCTCATGCACCGTGCTGAATTTTTCCACGGGACTGCGGCCACTCCATGTGTGCAGGACACAGCTCAGGAAGTGAATCAGGGCTGTGCATCAAATTAGATTATTTATTGGTTGGTGTAAGTATTTTCTTTAGGAGTTATGCTGAAAACAAGATAGACAACTGCAGGAAGAGAGCGATGGGCATGTGGTTAAGGCAGTTGAATGCCACACAGAACACTCAGTTCTGCCTCTGCCTTCACCAGCAGCCCCCAGGAGCAAGGAGAGAGTCAGACCTCACACCTTGGCAGATGGCCAATCAGCCTCATCTTCCTCATTTTCTGGGAGTCCAAACAGAAACACCTTGGGCCTTTCATGTAGAAATGCAAAGCAGAGGATGATAAGGGAAGGTTTGGGTCTCGAGGGAAAAATGGAGCCAGAGGCACAAGGTTAAATTGCAGGAAAATCCATTTAGTATCACTGACTTTACTACTGACTAAACAAGTGGCTCAGTTTTCTCCTTGGTCTAACAGAACAATGGTACTTTTCTGTTCTGGGAATATGCAAAAGTTGACCAAATACTGTGAAACTCCTTAATATCATTGCAATAAGCCTACAAAAACAACAAAAAAAGCTTTTCTGATGCTCTATATAGAAAGGAAGTTTTGGATCTTTTAATCTCCTAATTAATGTATACTGCTACATACATGCTTTAAAAATATATACAATATAAATACTAACATGTATGAAGATAGAACACATCTATTTCTCCTCTCACACTCTATATGTGATTTTTCAAAGTCCTTTCTATAGCTTCTATCAGGGCTATAACTTTAGCATTCAGTGAAGCTGCAACACGGAATAGGACACGGAACATGACTCATTGTCAACAAAAGGTATTCACTGGCTCACAAAAAATAAAAATATCTTCACTCTGTTCTATGTTGTGTAACCAGAGCCACAGGAATAGAAAAGCAACAGGATAGCTAGTAAAAGGTAATATATTTTCCTACTTATTTTATTACAATGGAGTATCATCATATTGAAAGCTTTCAGTAACACTAGGTTACCACGTTTTTGCAAAATAAAATATTATACTTTGTGTCCAGCAAGAAATAAACAAATCTACCTACATCTTTAAAAATAACCTGAACAGTTTCAACACTTATTCTGATTTAAAAATCTGAGTTAAGAGAAATATCCCAATCGAAAACACAGGTGATGATCTCCATTTTAGGTAGAAAGCCACTAAATGTAAAAATCTAACACAGTGATCAGAGCAATCATAAGGTTTAGGCGTACAACAGAACAGAAATATTTTAACAATGTCCAACAACATCCCAAGCACACAGTGTCTGAACACTACAAAAGTGGATGTGCATGAGACTTAAAGACAACACCATTTTAAAGGATAATTTTCATCATTTAAGAAGCAAATAGACAGGAGAACGAAACAGAAATTTAGGTTCAGGCCTACAATCAAATCTTCAGAGTGAGAACTTGCAGTCACCAGAGTCCTATGAACTTCGTCAGGCCCCCAGACTATTGAGATCCATTTGAACAAATCCAGTTGCAGGACTAGGACCTAAATAATGTAAAGAGAAAAAAAAATGAAATCAGGTAACACAGCACACAGCTCTAGTTAAAGAGATACCAAACTAATTACAGAAAAATAATTTGAGTGCCTAGACCATTACAAGATCTCTGTTTTTACCCTAAAATGCTTCAGCTACAGCAAAGGCAGTGGTATCTTACACCGAGAGATTTATAGAGCATTAATTGATCACAGCACATTCCCCTTCAGGCAAACACAACTACTTCAGTGTGTTTGCTCACCTCCTGTATGCTGCTGCTTTTTCGTTGTTATTTGTTTTATTATTCTTAATAAAAGGGAGTGGTGTAAAATCAATAAAGGTGATGTATTCATCTTCATCAGCTCTTCATGTAGATTTTCAGCTTCTTAGTAACACAATGGCCAGAACTAACATGAGATAATCTTCCCGCATTTTAAAACATTGCAAAAATGACAGAAAGTAAATAATCTTTCTAGAAGAAGTGGCATTGTTACGCCTATCAGAAGGTTGTGAGAAGTTCTAGCTCGGCAGTGTGCCTCCCTAAGGTTTCAGTGAAACCCCATGGTAGCATGCCCCTAGTATCATACAACTGCTAATGAGAAAATAGACTGGAGCAAAAAAATGCCTACCTCATAATGAGGTTTGCCCACTGAAATATAGACTTTGACACAACAGAAGCAGTGAAGACTCTACAGGAATATCAGATTTATGGTGGCACAAGCACATGGAATCACAGGCTATACCGTGGAGTGCTGTGTTATCCAAACCTCCATGCCAGCATTTATCATCCACCCCAGGAAGGGGTCCATGCTTCCTCTCTACCTAAGGCTATCTCTCAGCTTGGGAGGCTGTAATGGCAAATTCACCATGCCTGTAAATGTCATCACTGCACCTTGTACCTTCACTAGTATGACATCTTTGAGACAGCCAGACCAAAGACAGAATTAATTGTCCAGGAGTATGATACCATTCTTCCTATTACAAGGGCAGAGTTACACCTTCAGAGATCAGCATGTAACCAGACAATCAATATAAATAAACCTTCTACCCAAAAAAATATTCAAGACAACCAAAAAGTAGTCTCTGATTACTTTTGTATCTCCTACAGGATGGCTTAAGATGCAGCACAATCCTTTACATAAAAAAGAGTTTAAAAATTAACTCAAGATACAGGAGGACATGAACATCTTAAATTCACTGAGACACTGATTTGCCCATAGCACTCATGGAGAGATAAGGACTCAAACTGCTATTATTTCTAGACAGAAAAAAAAAATATTATATACAAAGTTCTCCAAGCTCATGGACTTTAAGAAACCTTTTTTGCCAAGACAACACACTGACTTAGACCACTTATATATAAGGAAACTCAAAGATATGCAAGGCAGATGAGATTTCCAAAATTTGTGAAAAAAGGAAATGTGTTTATTTTTTTAGAATTGGTGTTAGCTCAGGACAGATACCAAAATCTTCTCTCCCATTCTGATACTGAATTCCCAGTTATATCCCACATACATGTCTGAAAGTGGCACATGGTAAAGAATCTACAACACTGGACTTCAAATATAGTGTCAGATTTTGGTTATTTTATCTCCAGAGAGTTACAGCCTCTAACCTGGGGTCACTCTGCAGGCACACAAGGACCTGGGGGGAAGATGCAGCCGGCAGGGCTCAGCCTTGTGCAGGCAGAGGTCCCAGTGTGCTCATGGGGTATGTTTGCTGAATGAATTTATGATGTCACAGATTTTTACCAAGCAGAGAGTAATTTACTGCCTTATCACTACTCTTTCTTTGAACAACCCGAAACTATTGATGGGTCATTAATACAAAATTCCTTGCCAGAGTTACATTTCCAAAGAAAGACAGGTTTAAATTCCTTTTCCTGAAGCTTTATCTTTTTAATCTGGACACCGAACTACTACTCAACACCTAAGACAACCTTTCTTCTCGCTCTTGCAAACATACATTAACAATTTCGATTTCCACACCTGTCAGAAATTTATTGAAAAACAACAAAAAAAAGCTGTTTGGATTTTTTCTTCAGGTTATGCCTCCTTGATACTAAAGCTGCCTTATCTCTGGTTTCAGTCAGAAAAGCCTATGAACAGTTCTAATTCACACCTGTTCACTACCATGTCCATACAACTACCCATCACTGGAAAGTTAGCCAAGAGCAGATGTATTTCCTCTGTCCTTTCTCAACCCGTGAGTTCTGGTACATGCTGAAGGGGGAAGAAAAAGAGGACTGTGGCTGGTGTGGGACCTGGCTATAAAATTCTCAAGCAAACTGAAAGCTTCCTCCTCCTGGGGGGAATTACTATATCATCAAGCAGAATCAGAATAAGGAACAGAATCAATTAATTATTACTGAAATACTATGGAATATTGTTATTAAAAGACTTGACTTCATAATTTAATTGTAAGGAAATTACTGTATCTGTGTTCACCAATACAATAAACCAATTTAAAAGATCAGTGACTACCCAGCAAAATACATCTCTTCATGCTAGGCATCCCACTGTGACATTACAAACCAAACTCAACAATTAACTGTCCAGTCCTTTGTGGCAGGTGGGGAAATATTCTAAGCAATATTATGTGGGAAGAAGTTGTAGGAGTGAAGAATGTCAAATAATAAGTAATACAATTATATTTGAGGACAGATCTTCACGGTTTCTCCTATGAATGGATTTAACTGTTGGTGACACACACAGAGCTGCACAGCTACACCATCATCCTGCCTATTGCTCAGGCATGTAACTCTAGCATCACCTTGCATCCCAAAGATACTCCAAATCCCAAGATTTATATTCATCATTTGCAGATACTTTCAATGCAACATTTCCAAGACAGTATTTTTCTTAATTCTCCCAATCAGCTCAAGTATTCAATCAGGTTAATCATCATCATCATGTTTTGATTCAGCAAGATTTTGCTCCCTGCTTTTTCATTCAGCAACTTTTTTTTTTCTCTGCTTTTGACAAACACACCCTAATATCACACACATTCACTGAGAGAAGTGCTGCAAAGACTCTTGTCCTAGTCAAGCACTTGGAGAACACATCATTATCTCCCTGGCTACTTCTGCAGCATCTACCACTTGTCTTCACTTTCAAGGTCCATCTTTGCTTATCACCACCACACCTATTGCTCCTTAATCTTTGTCAGGAAGATAGCTGTAGTTTGTTCATGTTTGAAACCAGGCCAATTTTCATAAAACATGAAGCTGAAAAAACCATTAGATCATACTGTCTAATTTGATTATTATGTTGTGTTTGGTTGAAACACTTTAAAACCCCTCCACTTTCTACTGATAAAAAAAAAAATTGAGGGATGCTTCTTGTATCTCTTTCCTTCCTATCTATCTCCCACTTGCCATTCAGTGTCAGGAGTCCAGTTTCCAGCTCCTCTCACACCCACATGGTGTATTTTCAAACAAACCTCTTGTGCCTTTTTCTGTCTTACGCCTTACACTTTATGGAAACTCCCTTAAATATCTGAAAACATACTGCATTACTGTTGTTCAAAGCTTTCTCTGAAATTCAGCTTACTAACATGCCCCTACAGCCCCTATGAGCAAAATGTGTGATAAGTAGTTATATACACATCACCTGTTTTCAAATGTCTAAAGTAAGCAAGAGTGGGATGTAGGAGACAGATCCTACCCTACAGTAAATAGAGAGAGGCTCCTTGAGAGAGATTTGGTTGAAGGAACTCCTGAAACACTGCAAAATGTCCTGTGACGGAGCCTCTGCTTACGCTGTGGAAATGGCCTAAGGAAAGCAGTCTTGATTTAGTTACATGAGTTGGATCCCTAAAGTATGAATGTTCCCCCTGACTACTAGCATTTCCCTTCTCCTCTGTGTATATTTTCTGCTTTCAACTGTATCATATTTACACTGCTAAGATTTAAAATTGCAGATATTCTTTCCAGCACGCCTGCGTGATGCAAAGCACCATAGGAACTAGTTATTTTACAATTATACAAAACCAGTCTTACAATGCTATACAGTATTTCATTAAACAGATCCTGATCATGCAATTATCATAGCATTACGCACATACGCCTGGTGGATGATGCACAGCTCTGTGCACTAACTTCAACTCTGGTATTTACTAAATTCCTCAATCCTGTAATAAAGACTTGGAATGTGTTCATGGCAGGCACCAGCTTTTTTTTTCTCCCCACTGTGAATCATGGGCAAATCTTCAAGAAAAAAATCAACATAGCTAAAAAAGCAGAGAAAGGAGAATAGGAATATTAGGAATAATTAGGATATCAAATAGAATGTATTCACATAAAGGGTGATTAGACATTGGAATGGGCTGCGTAAACAATAATAAAAAGTCATATCAGGCACCATGCAAAAAAGAAAATAGAATACAACTGCTACTGGTGATGACCTTGTTTTGGCTCCAGGTAACAGAAAATAAGTCCTTTCAAAGCCAAAAGTAAGAGAAAAATTTCTCCTGAAGCCAATAAACAAAAAAATGAGGACACAGTCAGTCATAGAACAAAATATGATCAAAATCTAACCAATTGAATTAAATTATTTGATTTCATTATAATAAACATCATTAATAGCAAAGAGTTAACCGCAAAATGCTGAAAAGGATTTATTTGGTCCTGTATTATGGTGCAGTCATTAATAATTCAGTAACTGGGGCAAGTATCATGGCATAAAATCTGCAGTTATTTCAGTTACTCAGAATCAAGGAAAATTATTAATCTAGCCAAAATTAGTAAGTGGACCCCAGAAAAACTCAATCAAGTTTAAATTATGATAGACAGAGAGATAACAGACACATATTAAAATAAACCCATAAAAAAAAAAAAAAACAGTCTGTGCAAACCAGTCTGTGTATTATGAAGTTTCAAATTAAAGACACAACTATAAGGAACTTAAGCAAAGGGAGAGTAATAGTTACCTACAAAATTTCCAGATAAATTGATGTTAGTCACTAACATTTAATCTCCCATAGATTTAATTTACTCACAGTCCTTTGTTCT